GGATCATGACCTGAGCCGAAGGCAGACGCTTAACGACTAAGGCACCCAGGCGCCCCTTATTTTACTATCTTTTAAAAAAAACAAGCCTCTATTAGCTTTCTGGATCATAAATGTAAGGCTGCACCGTTTGTGTGTGTATGTGTGTGTGTGTGTGTCCTGGCATACTTTGGTTTTTTCCCCCCACCCTGAAATTCATATCGCTGGGACAAGTTAAACAAGGTCGCATGACAATGCCTGGGCTAACTTCTTTTGCTTAAAAAATTCAAGGGGTAGAGCGCCTGAGTGGCTCAGTGGGTTAAGCATCTTCCTTCAGCTCAGGTCATGATCTCAGGGTTGTGGGATCGAGTCCTGCATCGGGCTCCTTGCTCAGCCTGGAGTCTGCTTCTCCCTCTCTCTCTCCCTTTGTGCTCTCTCTCTCTCTCAAATAAATAAATAAAATCTTCTAAAAATAATTTCAAGGGCTATTGTTATGTGTTTGGGCTAACAAATATTGAGAAGTGGCAAACTTCTTCCCCCCCTCGATGTTTAAAAGGGGGACATTCTCTAGGTAGCACTTGATTCTGCGTAGCACTCCACAATAGACAGGAAGAGGGAAGAAAGGATTCAGAATCAAGGAAGGGGGAAGGGAGAACATGTCCCAGTTTTTTCCATTACTACTTACAAAGGAGATCCTGGGGGGTCTCAGTGTCTCACAGCTCCAGGGAGCTCCATGGCACCTCGCAGAGCTGTGGCCTCCTCACCATTTACTCTTTAAATCTTTTTTTTTTTTTAAAGATTTATTTATTTATTTGAGAGAGCGAGAATGAGAGTACATGAGAGGGGGGAGGGTCAGAGGGAGAAGCAGGCTCCTCGCTGAGCAGGGAGCCCGATGCGGGACTCGATCCCGGGACTCCAGGATCATGACCTGAGCCGAAGGCAGTCGCTTAACCAACTGAGCCACCCAGGCATTTACTCTTTAAAACAGTGTTTTTAAGTTAGCGTTTTTCAAAGCATGCTCATGTTTCTACTGCACCAGAACCACCCAGGTATTTGTTAAAATTCAGATTCCTGTGCTTGACCCCAGACCTACTAAGTCAGGGAATAGGGATGAAAATGAACATTGTAAGTAGCACATGAAATGATCTCTATGAATAACAAAATCTGAAAACCCATTTTTAGCATATTTATTTCATAACTTTGAAGTACTAAAAAAGTACTAAACACATACTAAACTTAAAGTGCATTTTACTTTGAATAAAAATAGGGTCACCTGCTCCAGAACTTGCTTTTTGTTCTTTAAGGCTTTATTTACTTCCCTGTTCATGCCTCTAGGTTCTATGGATGGCACTGTGGGATTGGGAGGGAGTGCAGTTGGTACAAAAGGGGCAAATGAAATAAAACATGAACTTCTTTTTAAGTCTACAGATTTTCTAAAAATACAAATGTGTGAGAACTTCAGTCTTTTGAAGTCACCAACGGTTATTTGATATTAGATATTTATAATATGTACTAGGATATTTTAAAAAATCCATTCTGTTTTTTTGAGATTTAATTTTTATTTTTCCAATTCAGATGGCTATTTAAAGATGGATCCAAGCACAGTTCAAACATACAGGATACTTGGTTTTAGTGGTTTCTTGAATCACACCTGAAATCCAAGGAAAGTGAGTTTGAGAGTTCTGTGTTTAACAAAAGACAATCAGCACCATCTAGTGGATACAAATAACCTCTTTTTTTGAATTCAGTCCAGTGAGGAGGTAAAGAGAGCAGGCTTTGGAACTGGGTTGGAAATTCAGTACCAGTTGGTTCCTGAGTGACCTCAGAAAAATTACTCAACCTCTCTGTGCTCCGCTTCTCAACTATAAATCTGCATAATAATAGTGCCGCTTCATAGGATGTTATGAAGTGAAGTGAGATGATACATCCAAGGCATGTCCCAAACACTCAGTAAATGTTACTTTTTAATAACGCTAAGCCATAGACTTGCGGGACATGGGAGCTGTCCAGTGGCATACATTTTTAACTGCCCTCCAAAATAAATGGCTATTTAGCTAGCTTGTAGAATCTATACTATGAGACGTAATGAGTTCTGCTCCTAGTGTGCTGTCACATTTGGCTGAAGCTTATGGTAAGAAAAGGGGAATTGGGGCAACAGAGCTGGAATGGTAGTTGGGGCCCAGATGGAATACAATGTGGGCTCTCTCTCATTCATTTGAATCTGACTCCACTTAGCAGGGGAAGGTCAAGGGTAGAGAGAGATTTAAAACAAAAACCAACTCTGAAACCAAGACTGCCATATGTCACCAACCTGGAATGAGACCAGGGACATTTTAACGTAAAGTATCTTGACTCTGGAAGAAATCTTTATGAATTATTTTGAAAGGCACAGTACTTTCTAGAATATGTTTGGGCTTTTTGAACACAACAAAACAGCAGAGAAAAATACTGCACTCTGACAGATCTGAATATGAATTATTTGGAGGGTGTCACCTGCAACAGTGGACACCGAAGTATTTCAGGAAATTAAAAACAAAAACATAGTGTATTGTGTGCTAATACACAACAAATACAATTTGTTTAAAACTTGCCCTCAAGGCACATACAGCCTCTGGCAGTTCACAAGAGGTAACAGCAGGAGGTAAACAAAGTGGGAATGACAGAAAACAAGATGAGTTTCTGCAGAGTGACTTCCTTGGAAGGCAGCTATGCTCACCACCAAACCACCAAGGCAAGTGACTTCCTTGGGCACTTAGTTTGGTAAGACTACCGTGAAGAGACACTAAGTTTCTATTCTATGGAACCTGATTTTTTCTTTTCACTTGCTTTTTATGTATCTTCTGTTGTATATATTTTAAGAGCAACAGTTTAAAAAAAAATGAAAGGCACACGTCAGAGCCTTGATTTCTCTTAGTTGGTTTTCTCTCCCCACATCCCCAAGAAATCTGAAATATGTTATTTCCTTAATGAGCACCATTAGTCACCAAAAATAAAAATGGAAAGAGTGGCCTTTTTTCATGGAATATTAGAATTGTGTGGACATTTGGAGTTTATCTATTGTCTAGCTACTCCAAGAGTGGTCGGTGGACCGGAAGCATTGGCATCACCTGGGAGCCTGTTAGAATCTTGGAGCCTCCACCTGACACACTGAATCAGCATTTTAACAAGAGCCCCAGTTGATTTATTTGCACATTAAAGTTTGAGAAGCCCCAGAATTTCAAGTTCATTGGCTCTTAGATACAGCCCTAGGATCAGTATTTATGAAATCTCCCCAGGTGATTCTAATGCAGTAGACTTAAGAACTGCAAAACTAGTCCAACCACATTTCTCAAATGAGGAAATGATGGCCTACAAAAGTTTACAGATTTACCCAGGATAACCCAGCTATTTAGTATCAGAATCCAAACAATGTCTTCTCCTCTCCTTATTTAAAAAAAAAGCAGAGTCAAGGGAACAGAGCATAAGGAGTGTGGAGACGGAGATTACTATTATTATTATTTTTAATTCTTTTTTGGGGGGGGGGGGGGGTGGGTCAGAGAGAGAATCTTAAACAGGCTCCGTGACCAGCGCGGAGCCTGACACGGAGCTTGATCCCACAACCCTGAGATCACGACCTGAGCCGAAATCAAGAGTCAGATGCTTAACCAAATGAGCCAGCCAGGCGCCCCCGGGGATTATTATTTTGATATGGGGTGGTCAGGAAAGACCCACCTGAGGAAGCAGACACCTGAGGGAAGAGAGGAAGTGAGCCATAGGGATAGTAGGGTAACTGTATTCCCGGCAGAGGAAGCAGAGGGCTGGTGTGTGTGTGTGTGTGTGTGTGTGTGTTGTGTGTGTTTTCCTCCAAGAGTATTGCAGAGGGCTGGTGTGTGTGTGTGTGTGTGTGTGTGTGTGTGTGTGTGTGTTTTCCTCCAAGAGTATTCCATCTTGGAGGAACAACAAGGAGCAGTGTTTCCAAATTCCCAACATAGTAATCTTTGGGACGCAGAAATGAGAAATCAAAGCTGCCCGCAGTTCTCAAAATCTTAAGTTATTCTTAAAATATTTTCAGCCTTCTTCATATTTTTGTTATCGTGCTATCTGAATTATTTTTTAAAAAAGATTTTATTTATTTGAGAGAGAGAGAGCGAGCCTGGGGGAAGGGGCAGAGGGAGAGAGAATCCAGAAGCAGACTCTATGCTGAGCATGGAGCCCGACTTGGGGCTCGACCTCACAACCTGAACCAAATCGATCATGACCTGAACCAAAACCAAAGAGTCGGATGCTGAACTGACTGAGCCACCCAGGGGCCCCCTGAATCATCTTTTAAAAGCATTTGTAGGTGATGCTCGCTTCGGCAGCACATATACTAAAAGCATTTGTAGGTGTTTACAAGAACTGTAGCCTTTAGCAAATATTCAAATACTGGAGAACACAGAGAACGTCACTGGATACCGTTTGAATAGGGTAACATACAAATTTTCAAGCAAGGCTAACAGCACTTCACCGAATCACAGGTTGGAAATTGCCAATTTAAGGACTTATTTTTGAGTCACAACTTACTATTTCTTGGAACACCACTCATAGAGTTTGTATAAAGTATACAGTCAGGATCAACTTGTTAATATTTATTTTATTTGCAAGAATGACTCACCGTTAGCGGCAGCCATGGCCAGGAAAACACACTTAGAACATGGCACCAGCTCCCAGCAAGACCGACCAATCTGACTGTGACTGCATCTCTCCCATGTGCTCCAATCCATGTTCCCAGAATGTTGCCCTCAACTTCTGACCCAGCGTGTTAGCATTTCCTGCTTTTGCTTTCGACTTGACATCAGTGGATTTCTTCAGTAACATCTTTATGTTGATTGATAAAGTTTAATTCTCATAGGAGGATTAGAATACCTTTTCCATTTTTCCTGATTTCTCAACTATTTTTTTTTTTAATTTAGAAACACATACAAATTTCCTGATCAATGCTGGGAAGAAATTCCTGTGCAGAAACACTAACAAGGAGGACAGTGAGGCTGGAGCAAAGTTTACCCAAGAGAGGGTGGTAGGACTAGAGTCTGAGAGTAAACAGAGGGCCTGGTCCTTTAGGATCTGTGGGCATTGTAAGGGCTCTGCAGGGTACGGGGAACCATGGAGAGTCCTGAGCAGAGGAGTGACATGGTTTGACTTCAGTTTGAAGGCATCATTCAGGTTGCTGTTTGAAAGTAGCAGGGGCAAGGAAGGCAACAATGAGGAAGGAGGTTGTTGCAAAAATCTAGGTGAGAGATGATGGCAGTATGGACCAGAAGGGAAGCATGGAAGGTGCTAAGAGGTAGTTAGATTCTGGGTATGTTTTAAGTGTAAAGCTGATAGGATTTATAACAAATTGATTGTAGACCGTGAGGGGAAGAGGAATTGAGGACAACTTCAAGGTTCTTGGACTGAGTCTGGCAGGATGGAGTTACCATTTACTGAGATAGATAAGGGGGTGGAGTGGGAGTGGGGGTGACTGTGGAGAGGTTTGTTTTTTGACATGTTAGTTTCAAGATGCTTCTTACATCTAAGTAGAGACTTCTTAATAGTCGGTCAAATAAAAGTGGAGTTCAGGGGAGAAGTCTGGGTTGGAGATCGAAACACAGGATTTAGCAGTATATGGATGGCATTTACAGCCAGGGTTTTAAACCCAGTTTTTATTTATTTATTTTTTTAAGAAGATTTTATTTATTTATTTGACAGAGAGAGACACAGCGAGAGAGGGAACACAAGCAGGGGGAGTGGAAGAGGGAGAAGCTGGCTTCCTGCTGAGCAGGGAGCCCGATGTGGGGCTCCATCCCAGGACCCTGGGACCATGACCTGAGCCGAAGGCAGATGCTTAACGACTGAGCCATCCAGGTGCCCTAAACCCAGTTTTTAAACCACTACCCTAGATTGTAGCTGTGGTTCCCCGAGCAACTCATTTCCCCTTTGTCTATTTGCTTCACTGAAAAACACTTAAAGAATACATATCTTATCTACCTAACATAATGAGGCTAAAGGGGCTGTGTATGGGAAAATGCCTTGAAAACTGTAAAGTGCTGTCCGTACTAGAAAGCAGATATTTGATGGTACCGAGGATGAAGAAAATCAGCTGGGGGACCCATGGAAACAGTCTTCATGCGGTGAAGATGGGAGAATCCACAAAAAAAGAAGTGCAAATAAAAAATCATTACTCTTTTGGACTGTAGCCCAATCTTGCAAAAGTACTATTTTTTATTTACGTGGAATTCAAAATATAGCAAGAACTTCAAATACATCATCTTTTCGAGCTGCACAACAATCTTGTGAGGAAGGAATTATTATTCCCATTTTACAGAGGAGGAAACTGAGGTCAGAGAGGATGCCAGACCTACAGAGCATATCAATGGTAGAGAGCCACATAAGCATCCAGGCGCCCTCCTTTCGAGTTCAATGTAAATACGAACAACCCTTTCCCCAGCCACACCGTCCTCAGGAAGACCGAGGAGACAGTAGGGCTACTCCAGCTCGCGAGGCTCCAACAGCGCTCCTCGCCGCCCCCGGCCCCCACACCTTATTTCAGCATGGTACAGCCCTTTTCTCTTATCGCGAGACTGGAGGCGTAGTGCTTCTGGTTGCCGAGGGAACAGCGTTCCTGGAGGCAGGAGGGCTTCGGACGCGCAGCTTGGTCCCCCTCCAGAGAAGTTGTGGTGGCGGGAAAGACCCCTCCCCTTTGGGGGACAGGGGGTGACGCTGAGTATCAGCGGTGCGCTTCTGCGCCCGTCAATGATCTGCCGACTGGCGACTGCCTCCCGGAGTTTCCGCCGGGAAGGTAAGGCACCGCACCTGTTAGGACCCCACCTCTATCATCCCGCGACCTGCCGTGGCGTGAGCGGGGCGGAGTCGCGTCTGGGACCAGGGGCTGTCAGGAAGAGGAGCTGGGCCAATGAGAGGGCGGGGCGGAGTCGTGTCAGGCTGCTGGGCCTGGAGACTGGCTGTTAGGGCGAAGGGGCAGGGCCAGTAGGGGGCGGGCTCAGCCGAGGTGGGGCGGGGCTTGGGAGGGAGCCGGCCTGCCCAATTGGGACAGAGGCGTCTGCCTCTACGGAGACTGTCGCCAGCGTTTCCACATTCCTGACCTTAGGACCTTCTATCAGGGAAGATAGAAGG